TGATCAGCCCATGCTGGCAAACGTGAAAACCAAAATAAGGTATTTATCAAGCGAATTTTGGGGATCTAACATCCCCAACAGCTTCATGAACGGAAGTTGAGGTTTAATTAGGCCAAGGAATCGAAAAGAGTGGCTTAAATCCCTATAACTTCTGCAATACAGAAGAGATGAAATCAGACCCTTTCAAGGCAAGAAATGATAAAATGATAAATTACTCGAAACAGATGATCTCACTCCTCTATATAAACATTGATTCACAAGCCTTTGTGATTCTTGTGATTCACAACTAGCACACCTGTCATCATCACTACATGAGTGAGTGTATGGCTGCAATTTACCTTTAATAAACTATAATTATAAACAGTTATTATCATTATTATCCGTACCATTAATACTTTCAATTACTGCTCATATAGATGATGGGCAGTTCACTCCTAGAACCTATTCCACCGCTTCCAGAAAGAGAAGGCAAACTTTTATGTGAAGATTTACAACAAGTAATCACTTTTACTATTATCATTATTATTATTATTATTATTACTTTATATCAATGTAATTACCTCTATGGTTGGTTTAGTGTTCAGTGTTCATGAAATACAACTTTGATTACTGTTTGATTTTAGCTAATTTATTTACGATGACTATATATTTTTTGTATTATCTAAGAGAAGAAGACTAAGTACTTGAATAATCAATGCTGGAAAATTTATAAATTCATAGGCAAATTTACTAGTATGATGTATTTATGTTACGCAGACTGAATTATATATCCTATTATAGGATAGTTAAATTGATTTTTCAACCTATCGGCCAGTCGTTAGTAACAAGAATATATTATCCTTGCTATTTATAGAATTCTGTTTATCTAGTTACAGTATAACTATTAGGAAGATAGATTAGATAGCGTGATACATTTTATTTGATTAGATTTAGTCAGTGGGATATCAGTTAGTCAATCAGTTAAATGTAACGTAGAACCTGACACTGAAGTTCATCGGTTCAGTTGACCAATAACCAATAACGTTATGAGATGTGATGATCAGGGAAAATTTTAGTATAGTATAGGTAGCAACAGTATTTACTGTAATATAAAATAACAAAGGTAACCCATGATGTTATTGATGAACAATTAGAGATAAAATTGCATTATGGGGTTGTGTAGATTGTTAAGTTACTCATTGAAATCATGAATCGATCAACGTTAAATCATCATTAGAAACCTGGAAGCACTGGACTGCTGTTTCGACCTACTATGGGACTCATCAGCAGTGCGCACCCATGACTCCCGCACCTCACAGGATTCGAGCCCAGGACCTTCGGTCTTATGCGCCAACGCTGAACCACTGAGCCGATATTATAGAGAGTTCAGCGAAAAAAATTCTTTTTAACCATATCACTTACTCAAGTTTCACAATCGTATTAATACCTACGTTATAGATAAAATACTCTATTAAAAGTTGAGAGGATAATTACATCTAATCATGTGTCAAAGAAAAAATCACTTATTATTAACTGGAGTAATTGAAGAGTGATAATCAAATGAAATTGATTATTTGTAGTATGACGACAAGTCTGAGAACGGAGGAGACGAATGTAATGAGATAAAAATTATTCTCTATGAGAGTTAACTGTTGAACTTAATGTTTACGAAAGAATTTGTCATAGCAGCTGCGTCATATGCTCGTCAGTTGATATCCTTGAAAACGTTTCCGAGTTCACCATAATTCGGTAAGCGAGAGCGAAGACAAATGATACAGTGACACGATAGGCTATTCTAATCCGTTGTCCACTGCCTGGCTATATATATCAAGAAGTCTTGATAAGGCATAGAAAGTGATGTATTCTACAAGCACCCAGAAAATATGAGGTCGACAAGCATACAAATCGAGTTTATTTAGACATGATAGAAACGTCCTTGGGAGAGCCACAATAAAAATAGCCTACTAAAATAACACATCAACCAATGACAGTCAAGGGTTTTCCGAATGGGAAATGTAATCTCAAGGGTAACTGAACAAATTATGTACGAAAACACAAAGTGTGTAATTCAAGTTTTATGTTTCGCTGAAAACCTTCCGATAGATAAACTGCTTGTGGAATATCAGTCGGAGGTTTGATAGTTCCCCATCTATTGCGTCTTCTGAACATATGGAAACCTTTGTACGGTACTATTTTGTTTTCTATACATAAAAAATTGGAAACGAATTCTCAACAAAGATTCTGATTCTTATGTAAATTTGATAGACTGATAGCAACTACTGAACTTATTCAAACTGACATTTATGTGACTGTTTTCATTACCAATGATAAAAGTGTTATCCCTATATCTATCTAACTTGTATAAGTGAAATCCAACGATTGTCGGTTGAAGTATTGTTTTCTCATGATTTGCCATTGAAGTGACGAGCGTCCAGTGGTGAGTCCATGGTGACACCATCAGCTTATCTGTAAAATTTATTATTTAACTGTGAACTGTAGACTAAAGGTGTATCATAGAAGTAATTCTGTTTTTTAGTAAAATAATATCGAGGTTATTGCTCTAAAATATAATCACCGTTAAAGGTATGTGGTTTGTGATAAGTGAAGGTGCCTTTTCATGATCTCATTCTCGCTGTGGTTACATTACCATCAACATTCCTAAATTAACTCTAGTCAAAATTAATTCATCCGATTGTTCCTAATGATATCTCTTTAAACTTGGTGAAATAGGTGGACAGTGTTGTAAACTCTTCAAGAAACTGATAGGATGAATGAATTTTCAATTGATCATTGATAACTTGAAGGGTGGTTTTTGTTTTCTGTTTCACACACCCGCATGCTAACAATAGCCCCTTCCTAATAAATATGAAAATTATTATGCCTGTTATTGTTTGATTAGGCTTTGTCAAGTATGACAGCCAATGTTACACCTAGTGAATCTACAGAACTTGATCAGAAAAACTCCACCAATCAATTGACCAATGCAGATTCTGTTGATGTGGCTACTCGAGTTGCAATGGTTAGTTGATGAATCATTTATGGCAGTTATTTTTTTAACTTTCTATATTCGAATAACTCCATTTATCTCATATAGATAGCTTGTTGGACAATGGATTTTATCTGCCAATAACTCAAAATGAATCATTCAAAAGTTGTTATTATTGAATCTTGAAGCTATGACATTCCTATTGTATAATGACTAATTCTTAAGGATATACTTAACTATGTATACATACGCATGCTTTATTCCCTAAAGCTTTTAGGTCTTTGGGGGGTTATATTATTGAGAAGACTGAGGCATGCGAGGAAGATTGTATTATGCAAATTTACACTCTGAGTCAATTAAAAACGAAAGCATTACATTGAACACACTCTATTTGCACACCATCTTTGAGTCGTGACTTTCAACACTCCATCCTTCTTCCATTCCTGTTGTTTGTTGCTTCCTTTACTTCCTGTTGGTACTCCATTCACTTCTTGCTTTTGCTCCATTTGCTTTCCGTTTTCATCTTCTGACCGTGCGACTTCTTCTTTCACGTCCCTTCTTATACTACTTATATCGTTCGTATAAGTAGCACACACCACAGTATGAGTTCAATTAAGGGGGATTTTGTATTATGTTCCCTCAATGCATTACCTACTTCGTTCTTTATTCCCCTGATATCTTGATTCACATCTGTACAGATTGATTATTAGAAAAATATCCACTATTTCGATTCTACTGCAAAATTACGTAGTTCATGTATTATTCACTCTTAACAGCCAGTATCTCATATATTCTATTCAGGCTATGAATCAATAGTTATCAGTTATTGAGTTAAACTCTATTGTTATGTTTATCAACATGTCAAAAAGAATGAACCTGTTTTATAATGAAATAATTTAACAGTGAACCAATCATTTCAAATATCAACTAAATTATAAAAAATGTACTCATTCGATTAGCCAATATTTACTTTCATTTTCTAAGGTTATAAGACACACACACCATTGGTTGAATATGTGACTTTAATTTCTAAGGGAAATATCTATACAACTTTCAGATGGCTAATTATTCTATCATTTTAAAAACTTATTCATTTTTACTTTTGCACTACGGGTTTGTGAAGATTGTTAAGTTACAGATTTTTGAAACCATGAATCGATCAATGTTAGACCACCATTAGAAACCTGGAAGCACTGGACGGCCGTCTCGTCTTGGTATGGGACTCCTCAACAGTGCGCACCCACGACTCCTGCACCTCGCAGGATTTGAACTCAGGACCTTCGGTATTGTATGCGAACGCCCTAACCGTTAGACCACTGAGCCGGTACCCAACGGTGTTAGATGTCTAACTTGATCAATTCACGGAGTTGTGCAACCTCATACACAGTCTTCGGTAGTTACTGTCTACACGCGAACAGGTTGAACTTCACTGGTCTCGACGTCTTCCCACTAGAACTCGGAGAAGATTTCTCACGAATCTAGTCAGTAGTGAGCACAGGTAATTTGCATTACGGGGTTGTGAAGATTGTTAAGTTACACACGCACAATACCGAAGTTCCTTTGTTCGAATGCTGCGGGGTGCAGGAGTCGTGGATGCGCACTGTTGAGGAGTCCCATACCAAGACGAGACGGCCGTCCAGTGCTTCCAGGTTTCTAATGGTGGTCTAACATTGATCGATTCATGGTTTCAAAAATGTGTAATTCTTTTACTTTTGTCTAATAATTTTTATTTTCATTATCTTATTAGGTACGATTTTTCAATTCCCTAAATATATTAGGCAATATTACTGAACATACTAGAACTATTCGTTTATTTCCTAGACCAGTGGTTGCATTTCAAAAATTCTCTTTCTTAAAATCACGTCAAATACTTACACCATTTACAAGGAAATTAGTTGAAACACAAGTAAGTCTCGGTGTACTCTTCTAATAGTGTTGTATTGATGTTTTTTAGTTTTTTTTCATATTTTCACAAACACAACTGTTTGATGTGATCTTGAAGTGTACAAATTAGACCGATGAGAATGTGACTTTCTCTGTAATACTGCTGGAAGGTTGATTTTTAAATCCGGCAACTAAAGTCATATGCATGACTTATTTTGTAGTTTATATCAGCCACATTTTAGGTAATCTGTGATATCTAATCATCTCTACAAGCTCTTCATACTAATTAATATTCATCATGTGTGCTGCTCACTAATCACTAACCTTGCGAATACCACTGAGAAGCCATAACGATTGGTGACCAGTCTCATTTCAGGAATAAAGCATTTTGGCTACCAATAAAATTGATGATGGCGAATTGATTCAAGTTCGAATTGTAAAAACTCAATGGCTTCAAGTGAAATTACACACTGCTGAGAAGTTTTATGCCGGGACAGAACATCTGCCTGTTTCTACTGGATTTTCGAAAGTTTCCTAACTAATATTAGTCAGTGAGTGATGTTACATAAAAGGAATTTTAAAAGCTCCCATAGGTCCTCGTTACTGATATATATTTATCGAATGTCATTATTGTTATGATGATGATTAGGACGTAAGTATTAAAACCTTCAAGGATTTCTTATCATCCTGTAAACTATTTCCTTAAGCTACAATTAATTATGAAGCAAGAATACGTCAATTACATATAACTAAAGAGGTAAAGAATTGGTGAATATGTTTTCATCTCTGATTGATTTCTAGCTCTTCTTAAAATATTCTTACATGACTAGTATCTTGTCATAATGCATTACATAACTAACTACTCGATAAGTATTATTTCATTATTGTAACTCATAAACATACAATTTATATGATAATGTGCAGTTGTGATGGAAAACTAAATTGGAAGCAAATACTTTCACTGAATCTGCTTCCTTTTTATTGCTAAATAGTAAAATTAATCATCACTAGGATCTCATGTCATGCTTATGGTGAAGTTTCGTTTGTCTCAGCTAGATGGTCTCGTTGTGGAGCTTTCTAAATAAATCCACCTGAGCTACAAATTTCGTATCGTTAAAAACGTGATTAGATATACATATTTTATTTTGTGTTTGGGAATAATTTGTATTTTAGACTCCTTATTGGAGGTAAGAGATCTGTATACAGTGAATGATTTCTCAGTATATAACCTCAATTCTTTCCGTTTTTGAACTTCTGGACATTTGAATCACTCCATAAACTCACTACTTTCATATTATGATGAATTAAAAACAAACTAGTCAATACGTTTAACTTAACTTGTTCATTTTGACACTGGTATAAATGACCACTTATATAATTACGCAGTGAATCCTTGTCATATTTAGTTCTGTGTACTTTTACTATAATCGTAGTCTGTATGGCAATTACTTGTCAGTTGAATAATTTGCTATACAAGTTTGCATATTTTTAACTTTTTAAGAGTGTAAGTAATACTTAACGAATATACTGATTGGCGTGAATTTAGGCATACATATTCTTTGAAGAGTGGATAATTCTCGTAATTCTCGTGTCCTCTTCACCCACCTTCGTTTATTTATCCAATGACATCTATTCAAGTTATAATCCTTATGTCCAATATTTAGTGTAAATAAATGTGTTGTTTTGTGTAAAGACATACTCCTCTCTTGTCTCTGAATATCAATTTTCTTAAATAATTCAATCTCATGAATATTTACCAATCTGTGACAAAAAATATATCACGATCAATTAGGATTATATTTATTTATTCATCTAACTATTTTCAAATTTCTCTTTATCAAAACATTACAAAACCCCCTAATCCATTAGAAATATTTATTATCTTGCAAATGTTAAGTAGTATGTTGTGCATTTGATGATTTATTGTTAATAATTAATGAGATGTAAGTAATTATTTGCTTTAGTGAAGGAGAACACAGGTGAGGACAACCGAATTGTATTTAACGAAAATTACAGAGTTACTCAGTAAAATAGGAAAACCATATCGTGACCGTTAATTTGCAAATCTTCAATCCATCATCAATCCATTGTCTGACATTTCACTATTCATGCGTTTCATACAAATTCCATTGTGTTTCCACTCTTCTTCCTTTCTTGCTTGATCTTCCCCCATCTTCTGCTGCCGCCAGACATTACGTTTACACTCACGTCATATACTACTTATAAGTAGCGCGCACCACAGCTTTACCATGTTTTGTTAGGCTTGCCTACATTCCCAACCTTTAATTATTTAGTCATTGAATTCATTCTTTAAACAATAATAACATTCTTTACAGTGTACATATCAAACAGTATACACAAATGAGGTAAAATTCACTTCATTGTAAAAAAAACACAGTGGCTATATGGTATCAGTAGCTAAGTACATAGTGTGTGTTGAATGTTTGGAGCGAAGCCTCGTGTGAACATCACAACACAGGTGTATAGGTTCATGCAACTTGAAAACTCTGAATAGGATGAAATATACTGTCAGGATTTCATTAATGGACGACAACCGACTCTGTTCAGTCAGTCAGTTTCAACGTAGAACTACGTACGTATGTACATAAGTTCATGTTGCCATATTACATTGGCACAGAGACGCAAATGTCAAATCAAATCCCATAGTGATAAAGATAGTAGAGGTAATAATTGTAATGAAGAAGACTAGGGTTCGAAGATAATATTCAAGAAATATAATTCAGTGAGATAAGGTTAGACAGATAAAGGTAGAGGTGTTGACGAATCCAGAAGATTAGGATTTGATAGAGCTCAAAGAATGGATGCACTTGCGCCATTGCAAACGATTTTGAGCCATGTCGTTCAAGGTCTCTAACCATTGGTGACTTTCGTCTCGCGGACCCCAACCAGGTAGCCTACATCTACCAACATGATTCAGTCCACTTGTCAGTGACTTCATGGATTTCTGCCATGTTTTTGTCTGGCAACGGACTCTGTTAATAATGCTTGTGACTTAATACGAAGTGTCAATCCTCATAAGACGCTCTAAAGTCCATTAAAATAACTGGGACGATTCAAACAACCAATAGAAATGCGATTCTATACATAGCTGAAGTTTCTTTATCGTTATCGTGTCAAGTTATCCACAAAAAAAGAACTTGATCATATTATTAACTGTCAAAATACTCATTTAATGTTGTCTATTGAAAATAAGAACAACACATATAAGCGAACAATATTGTTGTTTTCGATTAGATGGTCTTCAGGCTTTACTCTAATTTATATGAATATTTATGATGAAAATGTTAAACCAATCAAGGCAATTTGAGTGAGTAATCACAATGAAATGAAAAAGATTACGTAACTACATATAATAGGCAAAAGTTCAAGTGGATAGTAGGAAGACAGGTGAGTACTGATAGTAGTTAGAAAATTATAAAATATGATAACTAAAGTTTTTGTCAGTAGTAGGTTAAAGATGGATGAACAGACTTCAAATAAACATTAAAACACATCAAAACCATTTCGTAATAAAAATAAAATCAAATAAGATAAAAAATATATAATGTCAATCGTTAGTAATGGTTTTGATGTTTTTAATGTTTAGTTGAAGTCTATTCATCCACCTATGACCTACTATTGATAAAACTTTAGTTCACGGTCTTCGGTAGTAACTGTCTACACCCGAACAGGTTGAACTTCACTGGTCACTTCTTCCCACTAGAACTCGGAGAAGATTCCTCACGAAACTAGTCACTAGTGAGCACAGGTAATTTGCAATACGGGGTTGTGAAGATTGTTAAGTTAGAGTTTAACACCGCTAGATACCGGCTCAGTGGTCCGATGGTTAGGCGTTCGCCTACATTACCGAAGGTCCTGGGCTCGAATCCCGCGGCATGCAGGAGTCGTGGATGCGCACTGCTGAGGAGTCCCATACCAGAACGAAACGGCAATCCAGTGCTTCCTGGTTTCTAGCAGTCGTCTAACATTGATCGATTCATGGCTTTAAAAATGTATAACTTAACAATCTTCACAACCACGTAATGCAAAACTTTAGTTGTCATATTTTATAATTTTCTTACTACTATCAATACACCTGTCTTCCTACTATCCACTTGAACTTTTGCCTATTATGTGTGTAGTGACGTAATCTTTTTCATTTCATTGTGATTATCACTGACTGCCTTGATTGGTTTAACATGTATATTAGAGTACAGCCTGAAGACCATCTAATCGAAAACAATATTTTGGGGCACAGTTTTGGAGGTTTGCGTTTTTACACATTTGAAATCATCAATCAATCATTGTTAGACCACCATTAGAAACCTATAAGCACTGAAAGACGGCCGTTTCGTCCTAGTAAGGGATGCCTCAAATGTGTGAAAACAATATTGTTCGCTTTTATGTGTTATTGAAAATAAGATAGAGTTTATCAAGTATAATTTAGCGACATACAATACTCAACATTCTCTTTCACATTTTATATCACGTGATGAGATATTATTTATTCATATTATTGATATTATTATTATTATTGTTTTTCGCAAGGCAGTTGAATTTTTCGCTGAATGGTGCTTATATCCTGAAAATGAAGTATTTCAACGAATTCATGCTGGTATACATGATCCTGAACAAATTGGTGATAAAGGTATATGGTATCAAGAAAATTTAGCTCAAATAAATTTTGAGATTTGGTCTTCACAACAAACTGATGATCGTTATGTGGCGTTAAATCTTATTCATTCAGGTAATGCAAATAATGGTGGCAAGTTATTGGGTGATAGATAACATGAACTTATTACTCGTGAATTTGTATGCAATAGACTCGTTTTCGAGTTGAAGAGCCGACTCGATTCATCTTATCATAGAAAACCTGGAGACATTAGATAGCCATATTGACCTAGTATGGGATTCCAGTACGACTACCCCACCGGTGATCGTACCCAGGACTTTCGAACAAGAGCACCTAATGTGTAGGGTACTGATGCTCAGTGATTTCAAGTTTTCAATGGTTGTCTGATTTTAGTTTTCACAAACTGTTCTCATAACAGTGAATGAAGCGTTTTCAATACGATTTCATCACCCACCACATTTCAGTACTAAAAATTTTATACTAGAAATTATATTATCTCTCACAATATTTCTAATCATACAATAAATAATTGGAAATATTCTCTGTTTATAAAACGATATCAACTATTATAGTCGATCAAGTTGTATTGTATTCATTTGATCGGCATTCAAAAATGTGTTACACTTTGAATCTAATCACTTTCTATGGCATCCAACGTATAGAGATTTTTATAGGTTACTCTAGTTGTTACAAAACTTAAACACTACCGTCGCTTATAGTGTAGGCAAGATATCTGTTTGCTAACCAAAGGACAAGTGTACTACGCAGCAGTTCACTCCGTTCTACTATATAGATTCGAAACATGGCCAGTCAGAGTAGAAGATATTCATTTGTTACTGGTATTCCATCACAGATGTCTCTGAAGCATCACTCATGTAAGCAATGCTGTTTTTAGGAAACGAGTATTAGGTAGGGATAGAAAATCAATAGATGAAGTTTTGAAACTTCATCAGTTGGGGTGGTTAGGAGATGTGTTGCGAACGCCAAACCACCGACTGCCTCGACTAGCTATGTTTTATGGTGTAGAAGTAGGATGGAAGAATGCAAGGGGCGGTCAAACCAAAAGATGGCATAAATCCATGAAGTCACTGTCAAGTGGACTGAATCATGCCAGACTGTGCCCACTACCTGGTTGGGGTCCACCAGACGATAGTAATCAATTGTTAGAGACCTTGAACGACGTGGCTCAAAATCTTTTTCAATGAAACAGGTGCCTCCACTCTTTGTATTCTATGAAAATCAAATCTTCGGAATTCCTCATCACCTCTAGCTTTCTGTTTCTAAAGGTATCTCACTGAATTATACTTTATGAAGTACATCTTCGAACCGTAATCTTCTCCATTACCAGCTATACTTCCGCTATCTCTACAATTATGAGATTTGAACTGACGGTTGCGCCTCTGTACTAATATGGTTCGGCAGCTTGAAATGATGTATGTACTTTCAAATTTCTACGCTTTAACTGACTGACTGACTGACTGACACTAGCCTACTATAACCCTGTATCTTCTACGAATGTAGAAATGAATACTGAACATTACCTCGTAAAATAAACGACTCATCATAGAAGTAATTTAACAGCTGTAACGTAAGAAAACAGTCGATTTAATTTTGTACTACTCATGTACCTACCACTCGTAGGATGTGACAAGCTGCTCAAACATTTGACTAACCACATGTTTTCAATTGTGTCAATATTGCAGTCAACATTTCTGTTTTCTTACTTTGTTTACACTGAATAATTGTGAATGTGTACTGTACTGTTAACTTACTTACGATGTCTAAATTCTAGTAAACTCAATTGAAACCAGTGCAGTTTTCGGCAGATTCGATTACTTATTTATCCTTTCTAAAAAAACGAGTGATAAACACACTAGAAGTCATGATAGGCAGATAAATAAATTCTTGAAGTTAAGCTGGTAGCGAAGTTTCATGATTAAAGATATCTGGCAATTAGTGAATATTTCAAATGTGTGTTTCACTTGATTCCAAGCACCATCATGTTGTATAGTTTCATCTCTGCAGTAATTTTAAATAATCAACCAATCTTCCACATTGTTGGAACATTCCACGTACCTAAAAAAGTGATTGCTCTGGTTGTCAGAAGGGACAACAGCCTCGTAACTTCTGAAGGAACTTGGCTTTCATCATGAGACGTCATAATTCTTCTAAATAAAGACCTTCTGACTCCCAGGGTGGAGTTTAAATGGTTTGAATTGATTTTTCTGGTTAGCATATTTTCAGCAAGCTAGTTTTCTACAGGATAGGGTCACCATTCGCATGCCCAAATCTTCCCCTTTATTCGGGCTTAGGACTGACAGTAGCTCCAGAGGGGATCCAGGTGGAGTTGAATATTTAAAAGCCTTTATACAAACCGTTTCTAAACAATTATAAATTCAAAGGTTTTGTAATTTCGCACAACTGTTGATGTAAATTTCAAATTATCGCTGAATCCATATTAATAAATAAAGTTATTATTTCAATTCATATCAAAAGCGTTAATGATTATGCGTTTTTCTCTTTATAACCAATTAGATGATAGCGAAAATTACGAAACAATACGTGAGAATTTTTCCAAACTTACTACTACTTCTACTACTAATGATTTTACTAGTAATATCATACATGATTTGAATAGTTTATACAATCCACCAAGAAATATGGATGATTTATTAAAAAATGCTATCCAATCACAACATTACATACGTAAAAATAAACCGAAACGACGACCTGACCAACAACAACAACAACAACACCAACACCAATTACATCCAACGGATTCATTCGATCTTCCTCATGCTCAATTACAAAACTCTAATTCTATTGAATTGAATGAAATGGAATCAAATGATAGAAAGAAATTATCTGGTCGTATGTTGACCATACCGTCAATGGCTGAGTCTAGCAGTGATTCATCTGATGATCAAGTGAGTTTTTTTAACAACTGTTTGTTGTTGTTGTTGGTTGGTTGTTTACAAAATCCTATTTCATTCAACGAGAAATCGTGGTAAAACGTTTCACATGAAAGGTATTCTAGGCTACGATAATGAGTGAAGTTGTAATTTGCATTACGGGGTTGTGAAGAATGTTAGAAGACCATTAGAAACCTGGGAGCACTGAAATACGGCCGTTTCGTCCTGGTATAGGACTCCTCAACAGTGCACATCTACGACTCCTGCACCCCGCAGGATTCGGACCCAGGACCTTCGATATTGTGCGCGACCGCCCTAACCGTTAGACTACTGAGCCAGTGTTAATGTCTAACTCGATCAAATTCACGGAGTTGCTCAACCTCATACCTCACAGTCTTCGGTAGACACTGCCTACACCCGAACAGGTTGAACTTCACTGGTCACGTCTTCCCACTGGAACTCGGAGAAGATTCCTCACGAAGCTAGTCACTAGTGAGCACAGGTAATTTGCATTACGGGGTTGTGAAGATTGTTAAGTTACACATTTTTGAAACCATGAATCGATCTATTTTAGACCACTGCTGAGGAGTCCCATACCAGGACGAAACGGCCATCCAGTGCTTCCAGGTTTCTAATGGTGGTCTAACATTGATCGACTCATGGTTTCAAAGAAGTTATAATTGTCGCGGATATCATTATTGTTATATTTTAAGGATTTTACATTATCGGGTTCGGGAGATTTTTGAGTTACTTATCGAAATCATGAATCGATCAATGTTAGACCACCTTTAAGAACTGAACAACTGTTTCGTCCTGGCATGGGACTCATCAGTAGAGTGCATCCATGACTCCTGCACCTCACAGGATTCGAAACTGGGGCCTTTGGTCTTAAGCACGAACACTTAACCTCTAGACTACTGAGTCGCTATCTGATGGTGTTAATATCTAACTTCGATCAAATCAAGGTCTTGCGCAACCTCATACACACTCTCTTCGTTGAGCACTGCTTCACACTCAAACAGGGTTGAACTCCACTGATCACGACCTCTCACTAGAATTCGATATGCATTCAGAAGAAGTACTAGTGAACCATGAAATCGATCATGATTCAGTAATCAGTGAATGGTCGATTGTTTAAAATGCATTTCAATAATAACAGCATTATTATAATGCATAAGATCTTTCACATTATTGATATATATTACCAGTGTTTGAAACCAACATTGTTTTTGTTTTTTTGTGTAAACCACTTAAAATGCAATCTCATAATTTTTTTTTATATTATAGGATGATTCAGATATTTGGGATTTAAAAAGCTCTGTGAATCAATCTGATATGAAAGAGGACGTGAGTTAAAAATTTCTTTCCCTTTTGAAATGAAAAATATCGACCTTGGCACATCAGTCTACTCTGACAATTCTGGAGAGTCAAGTCTAGGTCATTTATTTACCAAACTGTAAGGCGTTTGAATCGATATAAGTTATAAGAATATTTCCCCACTTGATCCATCACTGAGTATTGATCAATAATGTCATGTACATCAACTTCTTAGTGGTGGTCGAATATCATCGATTAAGCTGTGATATGGCCACCAGTCTAAGTGATTTAACATCCTATAGACTGTATTAGGATGTAAGGTGGTGGTTAGGTGTAGTTGATCTGAAATCCTTGACCTAGGTTTTGTGCTATTAGGAACTTGTTAAAAAAGTGTAACCATCATCTTGAAGCAACTGATTTTGACTACCTCAATCCATCACGTTACATAATAAAAATAATACAAAGTACATGTAAGTTGTTGTGGACTTTAGATCACCAGAACTCATTTGAAAAAGGTCCTAATTTTTCAATCTTTTGTGCTGTCGCACATAAGTTGCTCAGATGACCTAGAGATTACATTTCCCACTCTGAAAATCCCCGAATGTACGCTACTTTTGTGGATCTACCAAGGGAGTTCCTATCATTGTATAAATAGGCTCGATGTGTGTGCATGTTCACCTTGTATTTTCTGAGTGCTTTTAGAATACACTTTCTACGCCATAACAAGACTTCTTGATATAGTTAGCCGGGCTGGGAACAAACGGATTAGAATAGCCTATCGTGTCAATGCATTATTTGTCTTCGCTCTCATCTACCAAGTAAGGTGAACAAGTAATAGCATTCAAGCATATTAGTTGACGAGCATATCGTAAGTATATCGTAGATATACTGTGGTGTGAGCTACTTATAAGTAGTATATGACGTGAGTGTCAACGTAATGTCTGGCAGCGGAAGATGGGGAGAGATCAAGATAGGAAGAGTTAGAAAACAATGGAATTTGTATGAAACGCATGAATAGTGACAATGAATTGATGTTCGGCAACAGGAACAGTCCAGTTCGATAGGATGGACTGATAATTTGCAAATGAACGATTTACGATATGGTTTTCCAATTTTCCTGGGTAACTCTGTAATTTTCGTTAAATGCAATTCGGTTGTGTTCTCATTCACTTCAATACTAGTTGGAGTTCCTAAATCCTAGTATTTTTAATTCTCATATAAACATTTTTTTAACAAAGATGGATGATAACCAGTATTGGAATAGAGAACAAGTGTATTCTATCTTTTTAGATAGAAAGTGATGGAAAACATGGCCAATTTAAAACAACAATAAAGCATATTCGTTTCAAAGCTTATTTCTGTTCATTGCAACTGATCGATTTGTTTTTGCTGTCGATCAATGGCAAGTGTTTTTCTTTCTCAATGTCAATAGTATGATCACATTAAATCTCAGTTATTATTTCCATTTTCAACAATGCAATTGCGTAATCTAACTTCTTTTTTCTACTTTTTTTCTCTTTTTTTCTCAATGATTTATCATCGTCACTCAATAAAATTCAGGATAATTGGACAAGGTAATAATTTAGAATTTTTTTTGTAAAAAATTGACTATTATTTTATTTTTCAGGCAGAGTTTTGGAGGTTTGTGTTTTTTTCACACGTTTGAAATCATCAATCAATCATTGTTAGACCGCCGTTGGATGCCGGCCCCGGTGGTCCGATGGTTAGGCGTTCGCGCACAATACCGAAGGCCCCGCGGTTCGAATCCTGCGAGGTGAAGAACGGTCCAAATCTTCACTACTGATCGAAATTTATTTATCAAGCATTCATAGTGGTTAGCACTCTAATATGTAAGCCGTTAGAGTCAGCCAGTCAGTTACAACGTAGAACTTCATACGTAAGGTACATAAGTTCAAGTTGCCATACCACATTAGCACAGAGACGCAATCATCAGTTCGAATCCCCTATTAGTAGAGGTATTAGGACTATTAGCGGTAATCAAAAACATTAATGATTGAAGATATCATTCGAGATGTAAACCTCAGAGAAACCAATTAAAAGTGTAAAAAAGGGTCATGACGAGTTCGGAAGACTAGGATTTGAGAGAACACAAAGTGTGGATGCACCTGTGCCATTGCAAATGATTTTGAGCCGTGTCATTCAAGGTCTCTAACCACCAGATACTACCATCTCGCAGACCCAACCAAGTAGTCGACACTTACCAACAACAAGTAATCCAGTTGTCAGTGACTTCATGGATTTGTGCAATTTTTTTTGGTTTGGCCGTCCCTAGATTCCTTCCAACCTACTCCTACACCGCAAAACATAGCTCAAAAAGGTAGACTGTATATGTGCATTTTCGAAGATTATCAATAAAAATTGAGCCCTAAACAATTATTAAGTCCAACCGCAGATCAATAAAATGGTGTTCTATTGCTGTGTCAAACACTGAACATTTATTGTCAAATATGATCAAGTCCTAAAGTAGCACAAACAGTTACAACGCAGAACTCCGTACGTAAGTACATCAGTTCAGGTTGCTACACTACATCAGCACAGAGACGCAACTTCCGATTCAAATCCATGAGCGATAGCAATCACAGAAGTATTAGCAGTAATGGAGAAGATTAGGGAGCGAAGATATGATTCGAAAAGTATAATTCAGTGAGATAAATTTGGAAGGAGAAAGATAGAGATTATGTGGAATTCAGAAGGTTAGAATTTCATAGAACACAAAGAGTGGATGCACCTGCACCATTGCAAACGATTCTGAGCCATAACATTCAAGGTCTCTAACCATCGATTACTATCGTCTCGCGTACCCCAACCTGGTAGCCTACATCTACCAACATAACTCAGTCCACTTATCAGTGACTTCACGGATTTCTGCCATGTTTTGGTTTGGCCGCCCCTAACTTTCTTCCAATCTACTCCTACACCACAAAACAGTTCGTCGAGGCAGTCGGTGGTTAGGCATTCGTAACACATGTCCCAACCACCTCAACTGATAAAGTTTCAATACTTCATCTATTGATTTGCCATCCCTACCTAGAACTCGTTTCCTAACGACAGCATTGCTTATACGGTTGTCCCATGACACACGAGCAATGCTTCGGAGACATCGATGATCGAAGATTAAAGTAGCACAAATTTCAACTATCCTGCCGATTCATACTTTCTTAGTGTCAACTACAGAAGCAATCGTAGTTCAGTTGAATGATATCATTGGTGTTATGTTCTCTTAAACTGTATAGTCGTTTAATTTTAAAACTTATCATTTTAGACAATATCAATGTGACCAGATTAGATCGATAACAAACTGTATTGTTTGATATGCTAGGGTCAAGTTAGGGGCTATATATATATTGATAAAGACTTTTAATGACAATTTCTGTTCTTTCTTGCTATTTATATTCATATAGGGATACAAGTAATAATGTTAATCATGTACAGAATATCACCGATGAACCAGTGTTAAAGAACACTTCAAATGCTTGTAAGTTAAAATCAAGTTTATGCGAATGAAGTTAATTGTGAACATTGACCAATTATAGTTAGATCATTTGGTCAAATTTTAAGCTTTTCAGTATTGGACATGTTGTGGACGTTAGGTTCCCAGAACTCACTTCATAAAGGTACAAATTCGGGATTCCTTGTGTTGTTACACATAAGCTGCTCAGTTGACTGAGGGATTATATTTCCCACTCTGAAAATCCTTGAATGTCATTGGTTGATGTATTATTTTAGTACACTATGTTTCTGGCTCTCCCAAGGACGTTTCTATCATGTATAAATAAACTCGATTTGTGTTCTTCTTGACCTCGATTTTATGGGTGCTTGTAGAATACACTTCCTACGTCTTGTCAAGACTTCATTCTCTGCTTAATATGGGGCATTGAGACGCTCGGATTAGAGTAGCCTTTCGTGTCACTGAATCATTTTTCTTCACTCTAGTTACCGACTAAGGTGATGTCGTAATAGCATTCAAACGTATCAAATGACGAGCATAACAGGACACGGTTTCAATCGTGTTGCCTAGTAGATTTTTTTCAAATTGAGGTTCATTAACTTTCAAAGCTAATTTTTTCACCTGAGTGTTTTTGAACTCTCTTGTAAGTTCATTTAGACATCTATATCTTATTAATATCCCGTTTTTTAGTTTCTAAAACAACTGAACCTTTTCATTGTTGAAAATATTACAACATCAATTCGAAGTTTTAAAAATTTCTAGTTGATGAATTCTGCAAAGTAGTCACTCAGTTTTATTGGGAAAATAGCACTGAAAATATTTCACATTTTTTCTCTTCTACGCATTTTGTTTCAAAAAAATTTAAACAATAATTCATAGGCTTACAGTCACATCAATTTATCAAAAAGAACTTCACCGAAAAATTTTTCTGACACTGATATTAGCAAACTAAACTACTGAACAAAATTTCCGTCATTGGCTTCCAACCAAACTTTGAAATGTAAATGATAAATTTTGTTAAACGTTTTATACTACTAGTAAGTAGGTTGCTTTTTTCAGAAACATTCACTGTTTCAAGCTCCATGTATAATTGGTTTTGGACTACTTCATAGTTGAATTATCACACGACATGCAGAATATGTAATTGGTCTTGTTTTTGGTCTTGTCCTTGTTTTATTTTGTACACATTAAACAAACATGAATTCTGGAGTTCAACGTTTTAAATCTAGGTTATCCACACTCTACATATCTGTCAGTCGGCGAATGATTACTACAAACAATATTTTACTCCTCTATAATATAGTCAAGAATTAAAACAACATTTCACTCCGTTTGAAGAAATGCATATAACAGTTGATACATGAAATAAGATATAGATCCGAATATTTTCATGATAATTACGATACTGTTTCATCATAACAGTTTTAAAATAAGCTTTATTCCTTTTGTTCACTTCCTGAAGTTTCAACTTAATGATTTTATTGCTTTATTGTGTAACGATGGTTTGATTTTTGAATGACTTTCAGAAAAGGTAACTGAAATACAAGATTTTGTTGCTTTACTCTGCTGAAATTGTATGTATTATTCATTGTAATTGTCACTTTTTCGTATTTCCATTCAAGCTATTCTACGCAAATCTTCTTTACGTAAAAAATCACCCACCACCGCCAACAGTCAACAACCTAATGAAACCAATGAAATTCTTCATAAAAGATCGGTGCATTATAATGAAGAACAATTAGTACAAATATTAGATAAAGATGATACAAGCAATGGGAATAATAATGTTGTTGTCGAAGACAAGGAAGATACACAAAATGCAGAAGAAGTTGTGGATGACGGTAACGGTGACGGGGACAGGGACGATGATGATGATGATGATGATGAGATGGAACAAACATCTGTTGGAAAATATCTGCTTAATAATTTAAGTGATAATCTATCTGATGCTGCTAGTCATGCTAGTATAACTTTATCAGGATTATTAAGTACGTTCTTTACTTTTCTTTTGTGTGTTCTTATTTGTTTACTGCTGAATATATTATTCTTTTAGATTATTATCGATTAGCTCGTTGAGCTGTGTTTTGTGGTGTAGAAGTAGGTTGGAAGAAAGCTAGGGACGGCTAAACTAAAACATAGCACAAATCCATGAAGTCACTGACAAATGAACTAAGTCATGTTGGTAGATATAGACCACCTGTTTGGGGTGGTTAAAGACTTTGAATGACATGTCTCTAAATTATTTGCAATGACGTAGGTGCATCCACTCTTTGTTTTCTGTGAAATTTTAGTCTTTTGAATTCCTCATCACCTCTATCTTTCTCTTGCTAAAGTTATCTCACTGAATTATACTTCTTGAATAATATCTTCGAAATATAAACCTCTTCATTACCTCCAATACTTTTACTACCTATTCTGCGATAGGTTTTGAACTGACGATCGCGTCCTTGTGGTAATGTGGTATGGCAACCTGAACTTATATATGTACGTACGAATTTCTACGTTACAACTGACTGACTGGGTGATGTTATTACCACTAAAAGTTGATATTTGAATTTGAGAAAACTTTATGTTCCTCTGATAAAAGCAACCTTCATCTATTACTTATTTACTTACGCCTATTACCTCCAATCGAGCATAGGCCGCCCACCAGTTTTCTCCAACCAACTCTGTCCTGAGCTTCCCTTTCCAGTTCTGTCCAATGTTTGTTCATTCTTCTCAAATCTTTCTCTATTTCTCGGCGTAACGTGTTCCTTGGCCTTCCTCTTTTCCTTTTGACTTGAGGGTTTCAAGTGAGGGCTTGTCTTGTGACGCCTGATGGTGCTTTTCGTAGTGTGTGTCCTATCCACCAACTCGACCGCTTCTTCCTGATTTCCTTCTCCACTCGAACCTAGTTTATTTTGGTTAACTTTAATTTCATTTTAATAAAAAGGAATGAATATGAACCAATCACGTCCTCTGATTGACAAACTGTATAAAAATTTATTGACATGAAAAATCAGTTAATTGAATGTGATTGTTAAGAAAAAGGAATGAATATAAATATTTTGATCTAGTAGACAGTTATAAGTATAACGTAGGACCTATCATATATGTGTATCAGCTTGATTAATAGTTCAGCCAATGTGAAGTTATGCAGACATATCTCAGGGCAAGTAAAAACAAGAATACACGATATTGACTCAAGTAGAAGCAAAGAATTAGCTGAACACAAAAATATAAAGTATCTTCGGATGACTATAACCACTTATCATCCCTACTTCATTGTTTAGACCTGCCAATAAGCTTGAGTCTAAAAGTTGATGAATTCTATGAATTGTAGCTATGTTTCTCTTTGAACGCCTTGAGCTCACTCCTAACTTGCTCGTACACCAGAAAATTCTTCACATTAAGGTAGGTGATTAATAGGAACAGATATTAAACGTTTCTTCCACCTCAGCCTATGGAGATTGACTTGTTCAACAATCGACTTGCCACCTTTACTTAGTACCCTTCGTCTAACCTCAGAATTATTCACTTGATGGTCTCAATTCATGCAAACGATGCTTTAAAAAAAGTGTCTCACAGTTATACAAAAGAATAGAACAAACAAACTCTGGTTGACATTGTCTATATGAGATATCTTTTTTTTCTGTTGAACAATACTCTTTCTAGATAAACCCAAGACAATTGTACGTAAATCTGGCAGTTTAGTAAAGAGAATGGCTACAGAAATTGCAAGCAGTACAAAGTCCACTGATGCAACCGGTAGTAACACAACAAATACTATCAATAAACACATAGATGCCAACAATGCTAAGCCCGATGGCGATCTTCTTCATACTTCATCAACATTTGTTTTGAATTTCCCGAAAAAACAATTTTTTCACTTTGGTGCCAATAAATCAAAACAACATGAAGAATCAACAGGATTATTGAATAAAAATAAAAATAATCAGATCAATTCCAACAAACTAGTTGATTTAAATATTGTTAATCCTGAAAAGAGGTCAGTACAGTATTTTTCTAATAAGTTGTATTATTATTATTATTATTATTGTCATATGGTTGAAAGTGTTCAACAAGCGACACTAGATCTTTGGTTTGTGCTGTTTCAAATTCGTCAGCATATAGTGCCTGAAACCAACTTGTGGGATCACAACCTTTGTCACCTAGCTTCAAAAAGTTAGTCAGGCCACTAAAGAGTGAGATATTTTACTGAGTAGAGGTTGATGATACGTTCTTTCAGTCCTTTAGTGTTAACTGAAATATATTAGTGTAGTTGTAGTGTGATTGATAGTCTAAATAATTTGTTTTAGATAGTCGACAGGAAATCACAAGCCTAAGAATTGTAATTCATCATTTTTGTACCTGTTTACCATTACAAACACCCATTGCTTAGTGAATTATTTATGAAACATGATGATTTTGAGATGTCACATGAAAGAAAGCACAAACTAGGGATGATCATCGATTTATTTCCATGTGTATTTATTATGTACCTTTTTACTTATCATTTATTTTTTCCCTGTTAATGACGAATTTTTTTATGAACTATTAATGTAATGAACATTAGTAACTTTGTTACGTATGCTCGTAAGCATGTCAGTTTGATATGCTTGAATTACTAATGAGTTTACCTCAGCCGGTAAACGAGAGCGAGGATCCGGTGACACGACATGCTACTCTAATCCGCGCGTCCCAAACCTTCATTGAGTAAAAGCAGAAGACTTTATATGAATTAGAACCTGTATTCTACAAATATACAGAAAGTACGAGTTCCGAGTCCAGAAGAGAACCAGGATACTGGACTAGGGATCCGGGTCCGGGAATTAACTAATGATTCTCTTAGGATACTGGATTAATATCCTAATAAACTTACTTCAAATGTGTGAAAACAGTGATCCGATGGTTAGGCGTTCGCGCACAATACCGAGGGTCCTGGGTTCGAATCCTGCGAGGAGCAGGAGTCGTGGATGCGCACTACTGATGAGTTCCATACCAGGACGAAACGGCCGTCCAGTGCTTTCAGATTTCTAATGGTGGTCTAACAATGATTGATTGATGATTTCAAATGTGCAAAAATACAAACCTCCAAAACTCTGCCCTAAAAATATGATAAGAAGTCGGGATCACAGGAACTCACAAATAGTCTGAATAAAATAGTTATCATTAGTGCGAATCGATGATTGTCACTGAACTTAGACCACGATGTTTTAGTAGTTCGGCGCTCTTTGCAAAGATTCTCTTTGTGGATAATCAAATCTCTCATAGCAAATAGCTATCCTATGATTTCTGACTTCCACTTATACCCTAACTGTAATCGGTCTGTGATGAATACAACCTTTATGCTCACTTTAATTTTCTTCAAACTATGCATTATGAACTGTATTTGGTTTTTTTTCTTACATTCCATAGTCATGCAGATCAAGAATTTCTTCGTCAAGTAGTTCAATATGTACAAGAAGGACAGGCAAATATTCAAATGAAATTCTCTATTAATCGTCTTAAAGAATTATTAACCGATGAAAATTATCGTAACTATTTATTATCAAAATTAAATCGTAGCCTATCTCAATTATTTGATGATCCAGATGAATCTATTCCTGATGTTGTAAGTTCATGTTGTTTTTTCGTTGTGATAAACCCCCCATTTCGTGTTGTTCATGAAAAATATTTTAATCCATGAATGACCAACTTAAGGTTGATAGACAGCAGTTGGACAGTATTTCTGTCCTAATATGAGAACTTTGAGAATGGTTCACCCACCACTCTGATAAGACTTGAAGTCATGAACTTCAGACTTTTAGGACAACACTAACTACTGAAGCATTAAGTTGGAATCCATTAGCTTACAGTCCTAATTTCAGTCACGTAAACATCAACACTCAAATTTTGATAATACTAGTCAGTGTGAATACTAATATGTAAGCGTTGGTTCAAGTTTATTGCTGTTATGTAAAATATGTAACTATTACTTACTTACTTACACCTGTTACCTCCATTGGAGCATAAGCCACCGACCAATGTTCCCCAGCCTAATCTGTCCTGGGCTTCTCCTCCCAATTCTGTCCAATTTTTGTTCATTCTTCTCATATCTTTCTCTATTTCTCAGCGTAATGAATTCTTTGGCCCTCCTCTTTTCCTTTGACTTTGAGGTTTCCAAGTGAGGGCTAGTCTTGTGACGCAGTTGGGTGCTTTCCTCAATGTGTGTCCTATCCACTTCCAGTGCTTTCTTCTGATTTCTCTCCCACAGTAGGTTGGTCAGTACAAGATCGATCTTTACTAAATCCAGCTTGTTAACCTCAAAGTTGGGCGTTTACGAAGTCCTTCATTCTGTCTAAAAACTACCCATTGAAGACTTTCCCTGGTATTGAGGGAAGAGTGATGCTTCTGTAGTTCTCGAACTTTCTGTGATCACCCTTCTTTTGGTTTTTTGATCAGGTATCCTTCTTTCCAGTTTGTTGGTACTTGTTCATACTTGTTCCCAAATATTTTTGAAGAGAATGTAAAATATCTTTTTAGTTGCTCCTACGTCTACTTTTATTGCTTAAGCACGTAACTATAAGATAAATAGAATATCCTATCATCTGTAGTCGTTGTGTCATTCAAAGACATTGATCAAATTTAACTTGTAAATCCATCATTCTTTTTTCATCCTTATCTCTTCATTTATGCCAGTTGAAAACAGCCAAAAAAAACATACTTTTTTTCTCATATTGGAAAATTCTTTTTAGTCTATCCTAAATATAGATGAATATAAATCACATATTTGGCTGTTACAATGTGTCATACGTGGTCTTGAACAAACATGTACAAATCATGGAATCGGTGGTTTGGCTAGTGCTATGATGTTATTAGAATTATGTCATACGCATTACATGAATAGCACAAGCAGTACTACAGTTTCACCCGGTAAACTATATGAATCTCAGGTGAGTCGGATTTCTTGTTTAAAATAGTTTCTTTTCATGCTTATTGGCTGAGATCTAATGATGGACCTGTAGTGTAGTTGGTAGTTTAAATGACTTGATTTTTGTGTAAACTACGCTTCGAATTAAGTTGGTTGGTGGATGTAGTCAAAAGGAAATACCGAACTTCAAGCTCCATGTTAGTAGGCATTTAATTGATAGCATCCGATCAGTGTACTGTAGAATTATACAAACATGACACTCTGTAGTACTTGAGAGACCAGACTTCTTATGAATATTTCATAAAAAAATAAGAGGTTTTACAGAGTATACCACATCAAATTCACAGTACATATGAATATATATATCAAATGTAAGTCAGATTGTGTAAAGTAATGAGGTTGTTGATTAATTTAAAGTCACTTTCCTTTGGAAATGGTCTTTACTTGACGAATCATAGAAAATAAAAGGGAGATGCAGCGGAGTAGAGTTGTTTTGTTCTGGCGTAGAACTCGTCCATTGATCATAACGAGCATTCATCTGAAACCTTCTTTACTTAAAGTCAAAATAAAGGTAACAGTCATTATAGTTATATGCATACTAGATTCTGATTCCAAGAATCATTGTAAATCTAGTAGGAAAATGTAATCAGTAAAGTTCACTTTTATCTAAGAAAATAAAAGTGTCTCTAAATAATCATCATCACATTTTAACAGTAATTTATTGGAAAGTACGCTGTCGAATTGTAATTGTATTGTACAAAGAATTATGTTGACTGTGACGGTTAGACATTTAAGGTTTAATCCTCGTATCTGATTAAAACTGAGCTCTGTTAAATAGTTCCGGACACTTTGCGACCTAAACGTTCAATGCTTTCTGATTCTTTGTGTTTCGGAAACTAGTCTGTCATGTTAACCTTTCTCATATATAACACATGATACGAGATTGTACTGTTTTCTAAGATGAAAAAAATCTAAGATAACCTTCTACGACACTGAAATATTCCATTACAGGATTGTTAAGATTGTTAAGTTATGCATTTGAGACCGTGAATCGATCAAAGTTAAACCACCTTTAAAAACTTGGGGGCACTGAAAGGCCGTTTCGTCCTGGTATGCGGCTCATCAGCAGTGCTCATCAAAGACTACTGCACCTCGTAAGATCCGAACCAAGGACCTTCTGTCTTGCGCGCAAACGCCTAACGTCCTAACCACTGAGCCGGTACCTAATGGTGTTAATTTCTAACTTCGATCAATTCATGGAGTTGCACAACCTCATAAGCCGTCTTCGGTAGTTACTGTCTAAACCCGAACAGGTTGAACTCCAGTGGTCACTACTTCTCACTAGAGCCCGGAGAAGATTCCTCGCGGAGCTATTCACTAGTGAGCACAGGTAATTTCACTACGAGGTTGTGAAGATTGTGAAGTTACACATTTGAAATCATTAATCGATCAAAGTTAGACCACCATTAGAAAACCCGGAAACACTGGATGCGTACTGCTGATGAGTCCCATACCAGGACGAAACGGCCGTCCAAAGCTTGCAGGTTTCTAATAATGGTCTAACATTGATCAATTCAGGATTTCAAATGTGTAACTAAAACATTCGTTGATTCCAATCAGTAAGTTTCATGTTCAAATTCTGCCCCATTTATTTTAATCTAGACAGTCAAAAAATCTCATCATTTCGTTGGTTAAAAAAAAGTTAAAAGTTTCATTTGTAATTTAGATGTTGTGAAGAATTTTCTTTCTTGTTTACATATATTTTTCTTGTATCATTTTCAGAATTCAAGAAAAAAGAATTTACAAGATGAAGAGAATTTAGTCACAGCATTTAGTAAGTGTATATATTTATTTGTTTACGATAAATATATTACTTCGAATTGGATAAACCCACCGGATGAATATGTAGTTTGTATGATTTGTAGGTATTCTAAAACCGAAAGTTTTGACGACAAATGATTGGCAATAAGAGAATTAAGTGTCAGAATCTAATCTTACCGATACTTTGAATGAATAAATATGTTATTTTCAAAATGGTACTAACAACTCACTAATTGATAAGTAAATTTATTATATTTTACACGCGATCTATTGTTTGATGAATATATTGAATAGGGACCTAAAGACGATCAACAGCTGATACATAAATAATTGACTACTTGTCGATTACTTTACTAATGTCAATCGGTCTATGACTCGAGTCTTCTAATTCTATACTCTTCGCATGATCCAATAACTATTTTCATGTACTTGCCAGTGATTCTTGAAGCCACAGCGAGAATCATCTGTGACTTGTGAAATTCGATAATGCTTGGAAGTGCGTTAAATACCACCTGCAATCAATTGAAGCTTAAAATGCAAACCATTTGATACCAACCTTCGGAAAATTAAGTTCTCACCGTGTGGACTGAAGGTCCTACAGTCGATCTCTGATGAAGTTGTGAGTCTACAATATCACAGAGTCCTACATTAGGATGAATCAACTATACATCGCCTTCTGACATTCAGTCACCTAATTCCATCACAGAGAAAAGACTTCAACTTCAAAAATCCCCACAATTACGTGTTGTAATGGAACGGTGTTCTCTTTTAGATACCGGCTTTATGATGTTCTGATTGGAGGTAATTTGCCTGGATAAGTAGTGTAATTTCAACGATCATAATGATTTGAATGAATTATAACGTGGTCAGTCGTGGATTACTGGTTTTCTATCATAGCTGTCTCCGAATCATTGCTCATATATCCTGGGACAACCGAGCAGGCGATACTGTTGTTATGAAACAGGTATTACATAAGGATGGTAGATCAATAGATGAAGCATTGAAACTTCATCAGTAGAAGTGGTCAGAACATGTGTTACGAATGGCCGACCACTGACTGCCTCAACGAGCTATGTTTTATGGTATAGGAGTAGGTTGGAAGAAAGCTAGGGACGTCCAAACCAAAACATAGCACAAGTTACTGACAAGTGGACTGAGCCATGTTGGAAGATGTAGACTGCCTAGTTGGGGTTCGCGAGACGATAGTAATCGATGGTTAGAGACCTTGAATGAAATGGCTCAAATGACTCATCTCCAATGGCTTAAATGAATCCACTCTTTTTGTTCTCCCAAATTTTAATCTCAACTCCTTATGACCTTGATCTTTCTCGTCTCAAATCTATTTTACTAGACTATACTTCTTGAATAAGATCCTCGTATCCTAATCTCTCCGATTACTGCTAATGCCTTTACTACCTCTACTACTAGGGGACTTGAATTTGCCATTGCGCCTCTGTGCAAATATGGTATGGCAACTTGAAGTGATGTACTTACGTACGAAATTCCAAGTTGTAACTGACTGACTGACTTATAACTTCAGCTCAAAATCTCTCTGTAATTTATCGTAATGATATAACCTGAAAAAAGACATCTGTGAAAGCCTCATGTCTAAACTATTCTATTTAGAGAATACTATTACGATAAAATTATCTTAATCAATCTAAAAGGGTTTTCTATTATGCAACTCAAATATTATGAATTTATCACATGTTACTTATTCCTTTTTCATTAAATAATCCATCATCTTTCAACATGATTTTTTCTTCAACTATAAATTCTTCTAGCTGGATGGTTACGTACAACTACAAAAGATTTAAAGAAAGTAACTAAACCTAACATTGTAACAGGTAAGTATTACAATATAAAACTATAAATTTGTACATGTTAACCATGAGGACTGATAGACTATTGAATCAGTTGGTGACTATTTAAGCTCAGTAGTTTGATAGGTGACACGTTGAGGTTAAGAATGACAAACACCTTGGTTTAAGTCTCAAGTTGAGCATCAATACTAAGCCATGCTTGCATACAAGGTGATGATTCCTAAATTGGAAGGAACGCCAGTCATACATTCCACTACCAGTTACATTCCAAATGTTAAAAATATCTATTGATTAATGCATCTAATCAAATGTTTTTCCGTGTCTAATTCGACGTTATCATTAAATGACATTATTTTATCAGCCATTAAATGCTAAAACGCAATAGATTTGTCCTTTCATTCTATTTCGAAAACTAAACACTCAACTAAGTACGAACCTAGGAATATACAACTAAAGCATAAATATAAAACATGGCAGCTCAGTTAGGCCGCTCAGTCTCACGTGAATCTTAGCTGACTTCATAGATTCTATTTCCGACTACTATTTTAGGCGAATAAATTTTTGAAGTTAATCGATTTTGGTTGTTTTTCTTTCTCTGAGCTGGTTGTTTTGGTTGTGGAGCTTTCATTATTCTTCTGAACAACATCATCAGCACAAACTTCAGATAGAAGTGAAGCATTAGAATTTCTCCATGTTTGACCTGTTGTTCTGCTTGTTCTGCTAACCTCGATCTTGATTGGCTGCTTTTGACCTTTGACCTGTCGTTGTTTGCGACTTTGTTTTGATTGCATCCCCCTTTTGATCTGTTTCTTGATCCTGTGTCAACTATGGTTTTCCTGATTGGTTGATAAATTGGATCAATGTCGATGTGTTTGTTGACTGCTAATTGACCTGAGTGCCAAGCTTCTAAAAATTCTCTAGAACACTAGAGAGCACTAGAGAGATCAATGAAAGCTCCACAACCAAAACAACCAGCTCAGAGAACGAAATACGACCACAATCATCCACCTGAGCTACAAGTTTTCTCCACCATCTCAAAAGCTAATCGATTACTATGTACAACACTTCTGTTAGCTCCAAGCTAGTTTTCAGACACTGTCTATTTCAAAGCAGGATAAAATCAGTTGAACAGTATTTGTGTTTTTTAAACTACGATAAAACAGCATAATACTCTTTGGTATTGATTGATTTATACTTCAAATCCTGATTAAATTATATGGATTTACTATTGAAACTTAAACTCTTGAGCTTAGACGTTCGATCACTTTATTGATTGATATTGTTTTATGCTACTTATTTAGTGTTCAAGTAGTATACATATATATCTGATCAATAATTCGTTAATTTCAACAAATATATTAAATTTCTTCGTAAATGAGAAACAAGAAAAAATCTTTTAGTTAACAATTCATTTCGTTTATGTCGGTACCCACCTCTGCCTAAACTCAAAATCGATATCTGCTAAAATTCTTTGAAAATTTATTTCAAATTACGAAGCACATCAGATAAAAGTCGGTTATTTAAACATGACAGAATAAAGGAAATTAAAAAAAAATATTTATCGCTGTAACTAAACAAAAGAATGAATATTATTTGATGAATTATATTGTAATTCTATTGATATAACATGGAATTTAACCATAGCGCTTCTATTTATATGTATACATCATCATGTTCATTGCACTTTTTAAGATGAAGTCGTACTTGTTAATACTGATAAACAATACCGTGTATTTGTAGTTTCATATACACTGTTACCCGTTTGAATATTTCTACCTACCTAGGAAAACCATATCGTAAATCATTCATTTGCAAAATATCAGTTCATTATATCGAACTGGTCTGTTCCTGTTGCAAAACATCAATCCATTGTCACTCACTATTCATGCGTTTCATACTAATTCCATTGTTTTATAACTCTTCCTTTCTTGATCTTCCCCCATGTTCTGCTGCCAGATATTACGTTGACGCTCACGTCATATACTACTTATAAGTAGCTCGCACCACACTATCACAAATATTGACATTAACATAATCGAATTAAAATAGATTCAATAGACAAAACCAAAAAATTTTAAAGATTCAGATTGTGGTTATTAAGTTTGATAAAAATACAAGTGTTGAGAGGAGATATATATTACTGAAGACCAAATAGTATGATAGTAATATTTTACAAAACTTTTGATGAATTTTATTTCTATCTATGTTATTTTAGTTTCAAAACTCAACGTTTTGATACTTACTGTAATTGCTGTTTTTGTTAAATCTAGTATTTCAACATTTATATTCCAGTGTGTTACCATTAAATTTGTTCGACATAATAGTGCTGGCTTATTTATTTAGTTCAAACAGGCTAATTTAACGATTTCTGCCAATTGACTGAATGTCTGCTTCCTTGTTTTTCTGCGTTTTTTTTGTTACCTTAATTTTATTTTTTACCTCATTGAAATTGAACAAATTGTTTTGATTTCAGGTTTATTCAATAGACCGAATCCAATGGAAAATTTAAATAACAATAATAGTCAGTCATTAGATTTATCTACTAAAAAGGTAATTTTATTATACATAGGGACTTACAGTCCTCTTTTTGCTGATCAACTAACATTTATAAACTTGAAATCATGAATGATTCATTGTTAGACTATGAATTAGAAACGTGGAAGCACTAGATGGTAGTTTCATCCCGGTACGGGACACATCAGCAGTGCACATCTGCGACTCTTGCAACTCACTGGATTCGACCCCAGGACCTTTGGTCTTCCTCGAGAACGCTTAAGCTCTGGACCACAGAACTGGTATCAGACTGGGGTAATATCTAACTCTGACCAATCTAGAGTTTTTACACAACCTCACCCATTTACTACGGTATTTACTACCTACACCCGACAGGGTTGAACTCTACTGGTCACATTTTTAAATCTTTTTATTAAAACAACTGTATCTTAAAATAATGGAGAAAATTCTCAGCTCAGATAGACACTTTTTTCTTGTTGTTAGTTTCGAGTTTTCTTTTTTGGCTAAATGAGATGCTCTTATTATCATAACGATCAATAATATCAGTGCTTACTTCATGTGTAAGCCGTATGTACCGAAAACAAATGGGTGAGATTGCACAAAGTCCCTAGTCTGATCAGATTTAGACAGTAACACCGTCGTATGCCGGTTCAGTAGTCCAAAGGTTAGGCGTTCGCGTGCGAAATCGAAAGTCCTTAGTTCGAATCCTACGAGTAGCAGGAGACGTGAATGTGCACTACCGATGAGTCATATACCAGTACGAGACGGTCATCCAGTGCTTCCAGGTTTCTAACAATGATTGATTCACGATTTCACTAGGAAATAAACCTTTTTCTAATCGTTTTGTTTTTGATTATTTGTCTTCGTTTTTCGGTGTATTGAAGTAGTAGTTTGTTATATTTGATTAACTTATGACTGTATGACTAATTTTTTTACCATACGAGTTGACAGATTTGATCTCTGATCTACAATCTAAGTCTATCGACTACCTATATAAGTGAAAGCTATGCCTCTAAAAATTGTCAGGTATTTTGTTGAATTTCCTCGATCCAGAATTTTAATATTTTCCCAATCTAATTCATGTCTATAATTGCCTTGATATCAGTGATAACATATGGTATCATTTCAATGCCAGTATGCGTTCGTGTATTGATAAGTGAACTGGGAGCAAGAGTTCACCTTGTCCTATGTAATAATTTTCATCTTGGTTGATAAAATTCATTGTTGTAACTTTCGATCAGAAGAAATTGTGAAATAAAATGGATATACACTACTAAAATCAATATATTTTAATGCACTTCTATACAAACAATGAATGTAACTCACATGATACATGACATCTATGGAATTTTAAATTTCTCATAGTCTAACCCTAATTGGAGTCATTTGAAAGTCTTCATGATATTAATATTGGTCATTGATTGACTAATTGAAGCTTACAGTATGTATTTTATCCTAAACAGATTGAGCATAAATCTCTTGATAAGAAATGTTTAAAAATGGAGTATACTCAATCGAACACAGAATGTTCAGAAATCTAAACAAGCACTTTATTTCTTATCTTCTGAATCTTGAGATGGTGGAGAAAACTTGTAGCTCAGGTGGATTCTCTGAGCTCAGAGAACGAAACACCACCGCCATCTTCTGAATCGTAGTACATTAGTCTATATTTTCAAATTTGGTCATTTTGTGACATGGCTTATTATCATCCAACAAAGTGTGGTTGGCGATATATAATAAATCACTCTCAAAATGGTCATAGCTCACACCAGGAATGATTTCCTAGTTAAACTTCAGGATGAAAAATGTTTACATAGTGTTGAGTATCATTTCTGTGGTTTATCTCTCATTACCATCATTGACTTCTATGAATGACTGGCAACTGCATAGTGACTAATGTTATGTCTGTTTAGTGCCAGTCGAAGTTATGTTCTATTACGTTACAACATGAGCACTAGTCTAATTGACTTGACATCACATATGTGTTACTTCAATGTAAGGGAGGTATTCGGTAAGATTTGGGTTTCATGATAATTCCCACTCCCATCAATAATAATGTGCCTGAAATCTCCTAAAGGAAGTGATCACTTTTGATAGAACAGTGGGAAGACGTAATTGATCTGAAAAATGTGATGTATTTGCGCTATACACTTCGAACAATCTGGTCACACATATTTATTTGTCAAGGCATTTTAAATGAAGATTCATAAAAGGTCGATTAAATAAAAGTTCAAATAGATTGTAAATAAAGGAGAGAGAAAATTAACGTAATATGAAAAGAATAAGAAGGGGTAGGAAAATTGTCACATTACCCTAGGCTTAAAGATTACCGAGGTAAATTCAAGGTAATGACAAATTGTTTCTGCACACATAAGGGGGGTTTTAATTTTCTAATAGCCAAGGCCTCCATAAACCTCAAAAGGTTGTCTTGATGTCAATCTATGTGTTTTGCGATCTATTTCCAACGCTAATCGGCTGATCTGACGTTAACTGATTTTGAAGCCACTTAGGTACATGTTCCATAACCCTTGATTGCAAAGTCTGATTACTCCTCCCTATGTTTGTGTCCACACAAACATGTAAACTGATGAATGCGATGGGATGTGATGTAATCATTTAGGTCTATGTGGAATCATGGGCTTGGTCTTTTCAATGATAATCAGTTTATCAGCGTTGTATGTTTTCTCCATGGCTGCTTTTAGTCTCTGTCTTATTATTAGACTATTTACTTCACCTCTAAATGGTAAAGTGATATAAACCTTTTTCTTCTCAGCAGAATCAAAAACTTGCTTTTGTCTTACCTGATCTCTACACCTATTGATGAACTAATATTCATTCGTGTTTATAATTTTAATATTTAGTTGTTCATGTTTGTTGTCATTTTCAGACTGATTTACATCAAACAAATGATAACTCCATTAGTTCAATTATAGAAGAACAGAATAATTCGAATTTCATGAATAAAGGTAATTTTACTTTAATTGGTAATATTTGTAATATATTCGAAATTCTTTATTATGACCCGTAGCTTATTCTTTTGACCTCGAACTTGATTGGTTGCTTTTGACCCTTAACCTGTCATTGTCTGCACCTTTATTTTGATTGCATCCCCCTGTGATCTGTTTCTTGATCCTATGGTTGCCTATGATTTTTTGTGATTGGTCGATAAATTGGATCAATGTCGATGTGTTTATTGATTGGTAATTCTCTTGAGGGCCAAGCTTCTAGAAATTTTATAATGTCTCTTCTGTCGAGAATTTGTACACTGCTCCAATCGAATATATGTCCGTAATTTTCCGTATGTAATGATATAAGGTAAAAAATGTCATGGCTTTTGATTGCTGATTAGTGTTCAGGAAGACATAACTGCGGAGGACGTCTACTTTGTCCTATGTAGTGTTTTTTACAGTTTGAGCAGTTTATTTTGTAGATGATATTTGGTTTTTCGTCTTTTGTCATTTTGTCCATTGGTCTACTTAGGATTGATTGAAGAGATTCTGTTATTTTGTGTGCTACACCCAATCCTAATGGTTACAGTAGTCATGGATTAATTTCCGGTATGTCTTTTATGCAGGGTAGGATGATACGTTTATTGGTTCCTGTAGTTGATTGTTTCAGTTGATACTTTTTGATGAAGTTGCGTGTAAAGCCGTTCTTTTGGACGATAGCCACCATACATTCTTCGTTTTTTTGTTCTTCATATGTGCTTCAGCGTGTTTTCGCTCTCTTGAACAGAGTTTATATGCAGTTGATTTCGTGGGTTCTTGGGTTGTCGTTACCGTAGTTGAGAATTAGATCTGTGTGTGTTGGCTTCCGAAATACTTGAGTCTCCAGGTTTCCTGTTTCAGTTCTGGTGATTAGTACCATCCATGATTGACAGTTTGCTGTTTGATTCCTTTTCCATTTAGAATTTTATGTCATGGAAGACGTTACCGATCCGATTGTAGGTGTTCTCCAACTCGTTCTTTTTAATAATGGTGGATGTGTAGCCTACACCACCGAACCCACATTTTGGGCTTGATCACTGGTAAAATTGACTCTTCTAGTCCCTGCATCACGGCACCAGCGTTAAGTCCTAATAATGATGATCCCACTGGTGTTCTTTTCGTTTGTAGATTCTGTTGTCGAATTGGAGAACGTTGTTAAGCGAAAATCGATGAGTTCTAGTAGACTTTGACTCTAAAGTTTCGTATACTTTAAGAGATTTGTGTTGTTGGTGAGATGCAGGGATAGAGTTTCGTCAGCTAAGTTTTGTTTGACTAAGGAGAATAAGGCTGTTACATCAAAGGATATCATCAATTCGTCATTGTCAATTTGAATCTCTTTGAGTGTATCCATGAATTGCCTGGGAGACTTAATGCAGTTATTGGATGAATCACCAAATATCTCAATACTCTTGAAATTTCTCTTCATAAGTTGTATGTTGGGATTTCTGCAAAATGGATTTTTTCAAAATGAACAATTCATTATTCAAAACCTCTTTTTAATATTGACAACTATCGGAAACTATGTAATGCCTACTAATTTAATTAAAGACTGTTAAATTGAAGAACACAATATTTCGATTATTAGTGACCATATTTATAAATTATATAAAAGCTCTCTGTTTTATCAAAGGTTATTATTTCTAACAAATTTTCTAGTTACAGTTTTTTAGCGAGTTAATTTTCTACGGGATAGGGTCTCCAACCCCATGTCAACCCTCCTCCTGTATCCAGGTTTGGGACTGGCAGTAGCTGTAAAAGTGCTCCAGGAGGAGTTATTTCTAACAAATGAAATTATGAACCAATCAATGTTAGAACACCACTGAGGGCATGGGAGCACTAGACGGCTGTTTCGTCACAAAATGAGACTCATCAGCAGTGCGAATTGACGACATTGCAAGCGCGAATCGAACCTGGCAACTTCGGTTTCGCGAATCAGAGCTCAGCTAGCATCTAATGGTGCTAATATCTAACTTCACTTATTCCTGTCGGATTTTTTATGAATTATTGATTAGTCTGTACAGGGGGAAAATTTATCAAACATTCCCAATCATCGTTTATGTTCCACACTTACATATCTTAGCATAAAAGCACATTGTTGGCTTATTACTTTGAAGAGAAGAATAATATATTTAAAATTGTACAGCTTTGAAAATGAATTAATCCTAAAGAGAACTTTTCATTAAACTCATCTTGTTTTTCTGAATACGAAAATTTACTAAATAGATCACTTGCACAACCATCGTTCAATAACACTGATAAGTAACCGACTCGCACCCAACATGTTTGAACTGTACTAGTCACAATCCCGTCTCGAAATTAATCACCAGTGAGCGTATGCCAGTGTTTAAGAGTTTGTAGAGATTAATGACGGCCAAAACGATTAAAAACTTACAAAATTCTTATTCTACAAATCTTTAACCCTAAAGTTCAATAGACGAATCCGAATCATAAAATTCTATACGTCACTATTGAACGAGTAAACATATATATATTCATTGTAATCACAATTGTTTTCAGTTCAGAGTTGTTGACTGTTTCTCAATTTTTAAAAAAAAATAATAGATACTACTGTCCGAAAGAAATCTCAAAATGCTAGTTCTTATCGTTTTATTCATGGTAATTTGATTGATGTATCAGCTCAACATCAATCAACAACGACTATTCATATTGATAATCATAATAGTAACAATAGTGGTGACCATAGGGAAATTAATATTTCCAATCAGTTTTCAAATCGTATTTATTTATATGAAAATTTAATTGATGGCGATGAACGTTCACGTTTATGGGATCATATGCAATTTTGGGAGGATACATTTTTTGATACAGTTGCTCAAGAAAGAGATATTTTAGGTAAGTTAGTTTCAATAAACCATGATAATGATAATATCATTTACAATCTGTATTTTTATTGATTACCTTACTCTGTACATACGAATAATGAAAGGATCATCTCACCAGTAAACTTTTAGAACTAATATTGTTTTCCATGTCTGACTTAACTAACATCATTTTATTTGTTAACATTTAACTCAGTTAAGCCCACTGAATAACTCATCTGACAGAGCGCTATTTGTACAGCAACAATTTATCTAAACATACCACTGTACTGTTATTATTGTTAGGCTTAAGTGAGCATTTATGCTTGAGGATTGTTTACCGCCTACTCATATATTCATTTTCACTAGCTTTAAGGGTTAGTCGTTGAAAAATTATTCGGTAATTGTATTGACCATTTTGATATATGTGTTATAATGCTGCTACGTAGCTATTCAAATCCCACCGATGTCCAAATCTAAATACTCCAATATGACCCAAATACTATTCCCAAATCTCCTATATATCAGAACGCAGCATCGTTAGATGTGGTTGTTTAATGGTTCGAGTATAGTAGAGAGAGAGAGAGAGGCAGGAAGAATCGGTATGAAAAGCTTTACAGATAATGCGTATTTGTAACTTTTAGGTCGAATAGGAAAGAGTATCGAAGTCTGTGACATTGACAGTTAAGATGACCAATAGGGAAGAACATTTGAGTAAGTGACAGTGATATCTAGGACGACCATAAAATAAACCAGTGGGAATTGACCAATCATTCTCTTAGGATATTGGATAAATATCCTAACAACTTGATAATTCAGCATTGAATCTAACAAGAGCATTTGAGACAAACATTGGCGATTTACGGGTAACGGTTCTCAGAACGAATGGTATATCGAATAACTACAAATACTCACGTCACAAGGTTGTGGTCAACAGTTGATGAACTATAAGATTTATGTATAATATTATCGTGGAGTCACAGAAAACAATATCATTAGAAAAAAA